TTTACGAGGAGTCATGTTTACATAGACCACAATACCTGCAGTCATAATGTAAACAAAAACATAACTCTGATAATGTATGTGCACTGTCCTTGAAGTTGATTGGTCCACACCCGAGAGAGCTTTCCTTAGAGCCTAGTCTCACATGGTGTTGGACCAGATGATGCCAAAACGCACAACTCAAAGACAATGCACCATCAGAGTATGAGAGCTCGGGGTAAGCATTTACACCATTGGAACCTCATTTGTCAGCAAAATATGATAATTGTTTTTTACCCTTCTATCTGGCAACAAAACTGACACCTTTTTTACGAGGAGTCATGTTTGCATAGACCGCAATACCAGCAGTCATAATGCAAACAAAAACACAACTCTGATAATGATATGCACTGTCCTTGAAGTTGATTGGTCTACACCCGAGACTGCTTTCCTGCCTAGTCTCACATGGTGTTGGACCAGATGACGCACGCAGCTTGTCGCAAAGCCTTTGGCGCCATAGGCCAGAGCCATTTGATTCAAATCTTCTGAACGGAGGGTGAGGACATGGGGGAGCACAGCTGGGTGGATATAAAAACTAGAAAGAAAGAAACAATTGGCGAGATTGCAAGATGTTTTCTTTAAGGAAAAAAAATAAAAAGCGTTTGAAGTCGACGGCGTCGTTGCGACCGTTGGGGCCTCGCGAATTCTCCATCGCTTCTCACCCATCCCACCGTCGGTCGGTGTCCCTATGCGAATGTATGTTGCCGACGTGGTTGTTGTTGTTGTGGTTGTTGTTGTTGTGGTTGTTTTTGTGGGTGATTGTGATGGGGTGGGTGGCGGGTAGAGGGCGAACTGAGACCGATAAATCAAAACTCTCCACGTGTCGAGGTTATTAACCGCGGTGAAGGTGGTGGGGGGTGGGCATCGTTACACGGTAAAGTGCTTGCTGCTTGATGGTGGTGATTCTGCACAATGGCTGTCTCCCTCCAGTCTGTAGCCTCGCTAAGGCCAGTCGATGACGACGATGACGATATGAGGATGATGATGACGACGTTGGTGACGATGACGATGACAACGATGATGACGATGACGATATTGAGGATGATGATGACGACGATGACGACGATGATGACGATGGTGACGATATTGAGGATGATGATGACGATGATGACGATGACGATGATAATAACGACAATGATGACGATGATGACAATTATGATGACAATGATGATGATGATGATAATGACGATGATAATAACGACAATGATGACGATGATGACAATCATGATGACAATGATGATGATGATAATGACGACGACGATGAAGATAACGATGGCGATGACGATGATGATGAATAGACTCACACAGAGACCCATAGACTCGCAATTAAATCCATAGACTCACACAACACCAACCACCGTTCACAGATACGTGATAGTAACATTACCACGGCGCTTGTGCCAGGCTAGGTGCACTTTGACCCCACATGAAGTGTCGAGGGCTCGCTAGCAGGAGGTCCCGGAACAGACCCAGCAGGTGCCACGGGTCGACTGACTGAGATCATTGTCCGATGCACCACCTGTGCCCCCTACTGTGCCAACTTGCTGTCTTTTAGCCGCCCGACACTCCGCTCGTTGTTGTGAGCGTCGCTCCTCTGCCATCCGTTGTTGTTGCTGGAGGTCCTCAAACTTCCCAGTAGCAGTAACAGCATCCTTCACGAGCCTCCTCCACAGAGGCTGATCATAACACCGCTGGTACTGGTCATTGGCAAGTCCACTCAGCTCCACATCCACCTGTACAACATCATCAAATTTTTTCTCCAGCCAATACCGCGCCCGTGTAGGCCCATTGGCCATGCGGGCTATGTCACCCAGCCAATGCAGCCTTGTCTGCTGGATGGAGCTCACTGATGGGACTGTGTCCAGATCTTACAAGGATCTGTGAGCTCCTCACACAATCCAGCCTGGTTAAAGCCAGGACGGATCGTAGGCAGGACCTGCCTGAATGATTCAAACCAGCACAAATTTTCCTTTCGGGGGCTCCGAGTTTCGCAAGCGTAGAGAAGGTAGGGAATGACCGTGGCCGAGAAGACCCGAAGCTTCGTGTGGGTCGCCAGACCAGGTAGCTTCCACACAGCGTTACGCAGCCGATGAAATGATAATGCCGCTCGACTGATTCGGAGTAAGACCTCTGCTGTCAAAATACCCAGGCAGGTGCTTAGTTTTGTTGGGGCTGATGGTAAGGCCCCACCTCTTAGTGGCACTCTCCAGGTTCAGCAGCAGCGCCCCCAACTCCTCCTCTGAGTGAACAGCAATCATCAGATCATCGGCAGACATAACGTGGTTGACCAATAAGGGAGCCATCCCTTGACCGCACCCGGGCATCGATCAGCCTCCCACTGCAGCTGTACCTTGACTGATGTGCGCTATGTGGACCCACATGCATAGACGTCGGGACGTACCTCTGCCCAGAGGTCGCAACCGGGTACCCGATACCCGTACCCTACCCGATACCCAGCTACCCGTACCCGGCCGGGTACGGGTATGGGTAGCCGTTTGCGACCCTGGTGCGGCCGGGTACGGGTAGGCCGTGAGTCACTGGTGAGTAACCGTTCGTCACTCATTTCCCAACGTCTTGTCTCTTCTCACAATTCAAGTTCCTAGAATCAACCCACCCGCGCCTGCAACATGGCTTCATCTCAAAGGTCGGAATCAGGTACCCGATACCCGTACCCGTACCCAGCCGGGTACGGGTACGGGTACCCGTTTGCGACCCTGGTGCGGCCGGGTACGTGTACGGGTAGGCCGTGAGTCACTGGTGAGTCACCGTTTGTCACTCATTTCAGGTAGGGTACGGGTAGGGAACGGGTACCCGTACACGGCCGGGTACGGGTACCCGTTTGCGACCCTGGTGCGGCCGGGTACGGGTACGGGCAAGGAATCAAAACCCGTTTGCGACCTCTGCCTCTGCCCCCCTCCCCATCACGCTCACTGTGACGTCAGTCATGACACTGCAACGTCATTCCATACCCATGTATCCTGCACGGGCGAATTGGAGTGGGAAGGGGGCAAAGAAACTCGTGGATTTATTTCTCTTTCTGCCACCAGGGTGATGACGCAGCTCCTCGGAGTCCGCGGCAGTTTCAAAGTAATTCTAGATTTGAAGCTTTCGTGACTGCAAGGATTTCGTACTCTTAGTTCTTTCAGTAAAGTCACGTAGGTAAAAAAAATTGAAATTAAAATAAAAAAATGTTTTTTTTATTAATTTTAATTCTTTCGGTAAAGTCACGTAGGTAAAAATAATTAAATTAATTTTTTTTTATTCTTTCGGTAAAGTCACGTAGGTAAAAAAATGAAATTAAAATTACATTTTTTTTTTATTACATTTCTTTACCTACGTGACTTTACCGAAGGAACGAAGAGTATTCAAACTAATTGTTTTTTTAACCAGGTGAGGCCCACTCGCCTGGTATGCAGGAGGGCGTGGGTTCGATCCCGAACCTGACGATGCCTGTTGCTGCTGTATATTTGGAGTCTGCGTCTTTCTCTCTCACATCATCATGACGATGGCTAGGAGATGTTAACTACCTCGCCTGGTCTACAGGAGGTCGTGGGTTCGATCTTGACCCTGGTGACGCCTGCTGTTGTATACTTGGAGTCTAAGTTTCTCTCTCGTCATCATCACGGTGGCTTGGAGATGTTGACTACCTCGCCTTGTATACAGGAGGGCGTGGGTTCATTTTCGACCCTGACAACGCCTGCTGCTGTATATTTCGAGTTTTTGTCTCTCTCTCTCCCCATGATCGAGTGGATTTTATCTCGGGGTCCTCCTGTTTTTTTCACATTTAGAATCAACATCACACGTTTAGAGGATTTGGCTGCCTCTATAAATGTCAACGTGATGATGATGTGCTACTTCGTTGAACTGCTATCATTTGGTGGCCAGGTCGCTTCTTAAAAAGAGCCACGTAACTCAGAGGGGCCATACCTGATAATAAAAAAGCAGTAAAAAGGTTTGAAAGAGGTGATTGCCACCGGTACCGATGGATCTCTCTCCCCATGAGTCATTGGTTACCAGGCGGAGAACATTAACTCACTGCACTAAAACCCAGGACTTCAGTGTCTCTGACACGGCCATCGTGAACCGAGAGAGACACCCAGACCCGGGCTTGAACCCAGGCTCTCAGTGTCTCCAACACGGCCAACGTGAACCCACTGAGAGAGAGAGAGACACCCAGACCCAGGGCTTGAACCCAGGATCTCAGTGTCTCTGACACGGCCATCGTGAACCCACTGAGACACCCAGACCCAGGGCTCGAACCCAGCCTCGCAGTGTCTCTGACACGGCCATCGTGAACCCCATGAGAGAGAGACACCGAGACCCAGGGCTCGAACTCAGCCGCTCAGTGACACGGCCATCGTGAACCCACTGAGACACCCAGACCCCGGGCTCGAACCCAGCCGCTCAGTGTCTCTGACAAGGCCATCGTGAACCCACTGAGAGAGAGAGAGAGACACCCAGACCCAGGGCTTGAACCCAGTATCTCAGTGTCTCCGACACGGCCAACGTGAACTCACTGAGAGAGCGAGAGAGACACCCAGACCCAGGGCTTGAACCCAGGATCTCAGTGTCTCTGACACGGCCATCGTGAACCCACTGAGACACCCAGACCCAGGGCTCGAACCCAGCCTTGCAGTGTCTCTGACACGGTCACCGTGAACCCCATGAGAGAGAGACATCCAGACCCAGGGCTCGAACCCAGCCTCTTAGTGTCTCCGACACGGCCATTGTGAACCCAATGAGAGAGACACCCAGACCCAGGGCTCGAACCCAGGATCTCAGTGTCTCTGACACGGCCATCGTGAACCCACTGAGACACCCAGACCCAGGGCTCGAACCCAGCCTTGCAGTGTCTCTGACACGGTCACCGTGAACCCCATGAGAGAGAGACATCCAGACCCAGGGCTCGAACCCAGCCTCTCAGTGTCTCCGACACGGCCATCGTGAACCCACTGAGAGAGAGACACCCAGACCCAGGGCTCGAACCCAGCCTCTCAGTGTCTCCGACACGGCCATCGTGAACCCACTGAGAGAGAGACACCCAGACCCAGGGCTCGAACCCAGCCTCTCAGTGTCTCCGACACGGCCATCGTGAACCCACTGAGAGAGAGACACCCAGACCCAGGGCTCGAACCCAACCTCTCAGTGTCTCCGACACAGCCATCGTGACCCCACTGAGAGAGAGACACCCAGACCCAGGGCTCGAACCCAGCCTCTCAGTGTCTCCGACACAGCCATCGTGACCCCACTGAGAGAGAGACACCCAGACCCAGGGCTCGAACCCAGCCTCTCAGTGTCTCCGACACGGCCATCGTGAACCCACTGAGAGAGACACCCAGACCCATGGCTCGAACCCAACCTCTCAGTGTCTCTGACACGGCCATCGTGAACCCACTGAGAGAGACACCCAGACCCAGGGCTCGAACCCAGCCTCTCAGTGTCTCTGACACGGCCATCGTGAACCCACTGAGAGAGAGAGAGACACCCAAACCCAGGGCTCGAACCCAGCCTCTCAGTGTTTCCGACACGGCCATCGTAAACCCACTGAGAGAGACACCCAGACCCAGGGCTCGAACCCAGCCTCTCAGTGTCTCTGACACGGCCATCGTGAACCCACTGTGAGAGAGACACCCAGACCCAGGGGGTGGGTTGCTACCAGCACAACGCTCGGCCGCCTTTGTCTCCCCAGTGACGATGTTCACACCGCTACACCAGATACTCGTTTGAGGCTGAGTCGACCTAGGAGAGGCCCAGGACCGGTTCAGATAATCGTCACCGGTGGTTTTGGTGGTCGTGAGCGGGAATCGAACTCGGGTCACCGGGTTTCGTAGGGCAGCGTAGCGCTAACCACTACACCCACCGCTCACTACACCACCACTACTGAGCCACCCGCTTGCCTTTGCGTTTCACGAGATCCCGCTCTGCATTTGTGCGCGTCTGTGTGTGTGTCTGTGTGTGCGCGTCTGTGTGTGTATGTGTGTGTGTCTGTGTGTGTCTGTGTGTGTGTGTCTGTGTGTGTCTGTGTGTGTCTGTGTGTGTGTGTCTGTGTCTGTGTGTGTGTGTGTGTCTGTGTGTGTGTGTGTGTGTGTCTGTGTGTGTGTCTGTGTGTGTTGTGTGTCTGTGTGTGTGTCTGTGTGTGTCTGTCTGTGTGTGTCTGTGTGTGTCTGTGTGTGTCTGTGTGTGTGTGTCTGTGTGTGTGTGTGTGTCTGTGTGTGTGTGTCTGTGTGTGTCTGTGTGTGTGTCTGTGTGTGTGTGTCTGTGTGTCTGTGTATGTATGTGTGTCTGTGTGTGTCTGTTTGTGTGTGTGTCTGTGTGTGTGTCTGTGTGTGTCTGTGTGTGTGTGTCTGTATGTGTGTGTGTCTGTGTGTGTGCGCGTCTGTGTGTGTGTCTGTGTGTGTCTGTGTGTGTGTCTGTGTGTGTGTCTGTGTGTGTGTATCTGTGTGTGTCTGTGTGTGTGTGTCTGTGTGTGTGTCTGTGTGTGTCTGTGTGTGTCTGTGTGTGTGTCTGTGTGTGTGTGTGTCTGTGTGTGTGTGTCTGTGTGTGTGTGTGTCTGTGTGTGTGTGTGTCTGTGTGTGCGCGTCTGTGTGTGTGTGCGCGTCTGTGTATGTGTGTGTGTGTCTGTGTGTGTCTGTGTGTGTGTCTGTGTGTGTGTGTCTGTGTGTCTGTGTATGTATGTGTGTCTGTGTGTGTCTGTGTGTGTGTGTGTCTGTGTGTGTGTCTGTGTGTGTCTGTGTGTGTGTGTCTGTATGTGTGTGTGTCTGTGTGTGTGCGCGTCTGTGTGTGTGTCTGTGTGTGTCTGTGTGTGTGTCTGTGTGTGTCTGTGTGTGTGTATCTGTGTGTGTGTGTGTGTCTGCGTGTGTGTGTCTGTGTGTGTGTCTGTGTGTGTGTCTGTCTGTCTGTCTGTGTCTGTTTGTGTGTCTGTGTGTGTCTGTCTGTCTGTGTGTGTATGTCTGTCTGTGTGTGTGTCTGTCTGTCTGTGTGTGTGTCTGTTTGTCTGTGTGTGTGTCTGTTTGTGTCTGTGTGTGTCTGTCTGTATGTGTGTGTCTGTCTGTGTGTGTCTGTTTGTCTGTGTGTCTGTGTCTGTGTGTGTGTCTGTCTGTCTGTGTGTGTGTCTGTCTGTGTGTGTCTGTGACTGGTGGTGACTGGGGGGGGGGAGCGGTGATGCAGCGGTTAGCGCTGCCGCGTCACGAGCCCGACGGAGAGATGCCGAGTTAGATTCCCAGCTCAGGGCCACGAATTATCTGGGCCCTACCCCTAGATCGACTCAGCCTCAAATGAGTACCTGGTGCGGTGTGTAGTGAACATCGCCACTGGGGAGACAAAGGCGGCCGGGCGTGGTGCTGGCCACCCACCCCCTCGTGTGCCGTGCCGGTAGCCTTCATAGGTACTTGCTAACAGCACTTGCCCCAACAGTCTGTTGAGGCTATACGGGGGATCTTTGTCTTTGCGTGTGGGTGGAGTGGTGGCACAGTGGTTAGCGCGCTGCGCTGCGAATCCACCCACGTTCGATTCACGTCCACAGCCAACAACGCTGACGATTATCTAAACCGGTGGTGGGCCTCCCCTAGGTCGACTCAGCCTCAAACGAGTACCTCTGTGCGGTGGTGCAGTAAACATCGCCACGGGGGATCTTTGTCTGTCTGTGTGTGTGCGCGCTCAGACCGCCACTCACGATCTCGCCCAACCTCGACTCACCCGACCATCCCATCCCATCGTGTCCCGCTAACCCTGGCCACTCCCCCCCTCCCCTCTCCCCTCGCCCCTCCCCCAGCAGCAGCAGCAGAAATTTTAAAAAATCTCCCAAAACTCAACGAGGTCCTAGGCTGATGCGGGTCAGGAGCGAGGGCGGGGGGCGATTTGGCGTGGGTTGTCCACCACCCTTCGTAGCAGCTGCTGCTGCTGCTGTGAGCTGTGTGGGCTACTCGCCCATAGACTCACGCAGAGACACATAGACTCACGCAGAGACACATAGACTCACGCAGAGACACATAGACTCACGCAGAGACACATAGACTCACGCAGAGACACATAGACTCACACGGAGACACATAGACTCACGCAGAGACACATAGACTCACGCAGAGGCACATAGACTCACGCGGAGACCAATAGACTCACACAGAGACCCATAGATAACAAAGAGACTAATAGACTGGCACAGAGACCCATAAACTCACACAGAGGCCCATAGACTCACGCAAAGACCCACAGACTCACATAAGGACCCATAGACTCACACGGAGACCAATAGACTCACACGGATACTCATAAAATCACACAGAGAGCCATAAACTCACACGGAGACCAATAGACTCACACAGAGACCCATAGACTCACACGGAGAACCGTAAACTCACACAGAGACACATAGACTCACACGGAGACCAATAGACTCACGCAGAGACCCATAGACTCACACGTAGACCCATAGACTCACACGGAGACCAATAGACTCACACGGATACTCATAACCTCACACAGAGACCCATAGACTCACGAAGAGACTCATAGATTCGTGCAGAGACCCATAGGCTCACACAGCGACCCATATATTCATGCAGAGACCCATATACTCACACAGAGAATCATAGATTCACACAGAGACCCATAGACTCATGCAGAGACCCATATACTCACGCAGAGACCCATGGAATCACACAGAGACTCATAGATTCACACAGAGACCCATAGACTCACACGGAGACGAATAGACTCACACGGAGACTCATAGACTCACACAGAGACCCATAGACTCACGCAGAGACCCATAGACTCACACAGATACCCATAGACTAATGCAGAGACTAATAGACTAGCAGAGACCCATAGACTGACACAGAGACCCATAGACTCATGCAAAAACCCACAGACTCACATGGAGACCCATAGATTTGCGCAGGGACCCATAGACTCACGCAGAGACCCATGGACTCACACAGAGACCCATAGACTCGCACAAAGACCCATAGACTCATACAGAGACCCATAGACTTACACAGAGACCCATAGACCCACACAGAGACCCATAGACCCACACAGAGACCCATAGACTCACACAGAGACCGATACACTCACACAACGACACAGAGACTCACACAGCGACCCATAGACTCACGCAGAGACCCATATACTCACGCAGAGACCCACAGACTCACGCAGAGACCCACAGACTCACATAGAGACCCATAGACTCATGCAGAGACCCACAGACTCACACAGAGACCCACAAACTCACACAGAGACCCATAGACTCACACATAGACCCATGGATTCACACAGAGACCCATAGACTCACGCGGAGACCCATAGACTCACGCAGAGACCCATAGACTCACACCTCCCCCGCCACACACAAACAACTCTGTTAATATTCTTAGTTTTTTTTTTAATTACAGACCGATTCAGACCTTGTTGGTCAACTCCGTGGTGCGCCCTTATACATATTCAACGTTCATGCCACGCAGTCCCATCGCGACGGAGAGAAACGCAAAACGAATAGACACACGACTCGTTTTGTGCACGTACGGAACCCGAAAAACTCAATTTTCCTGGACAAGAACGAGGGCTAAACCGTCACGGCTTCGACGGCCGGGCTGACATCTCCTCTAAAGAGCAATTCGAGTCGCGAAATCGGCCGATATCGTGTTGAGTTCTGGGCGATTGTTGCTTGCTTGGTTGTCGTTGTTGTTGTTGTTGGTGGCTGCTGTTGTTGTTGTTGCTGCTGTTGTTGTGTAGTTTGATGCAACGCGTCATCATCATCATCATCACAATGGCCATCGTCACAATCCACCCCGTCCGCCCACCCCGCATGGGCTGTTTGCTCCCACCTTTTACCTACCCCCCAACCCCCCAACGTTATCTTTCCCGCCCGCGCTAAGATTTAAGATTATTATTATTTTTTATGATCATTTTTTGGGCAACCAACCCTTTTCCCACGGTCTGCGAGCCTATGTTATCACTCCCTAGTATTTTATTCATTTTTGCAGTCAAACGAATATCCAAGGAATGTGCTCGAAAGCCGGGGAAAAAAGTGTGTAAAAAAGGAGGTAAGGTTAACGTCTCTCTTTCTTCAAGGCTTCATGGCTCACTCACTCACTCACCTACCCACTCACCTACCCACCCACCTACCTACCCACCTACCTACCCACCTACCCACCCACCTACCTACCCACCTACCTACCGACCCACCCACCGAACCGAACCTACCCATTCCGTTCCTTCTTTCGTTACCTTCCGTACGGATTTTTTTGTCAATTTTTTTTTTAAGTATTTTTTTCTTTTTCTTATTTTAAACATTTTATTGGTTTTAATCTTTTTTCGGTTGTATTTTTTTTGCTCTTCTGCCCCCCCCCCCCCCCCCACATCGGTTGCTTCGTTCTGCTCCTCCGTCTCCCTTATTTTAAATGATGGAATATTTTTTGTTGATTAATTTTTGCTTTCGTGTAATTTGATGTTGTTTGGAGACTCTTTAAATTGTT